CCCAACATTTACGATATTAAATATTTGATGAAATCGTGTAAGAATTTGAAAGGTGGCCTACAAGAGGTGGCCGATCAATTGGAATTGCGACGTGTCGGGCCACAACATCAGGCCGGTTCTGATGCGCTGCTCACCGGAATGGCATTCTTCAAAATGCGTGAGGTACATAATGACAATAAGAATTTTATTATTGAACCGACATCGACATTTCTCGACTATGCCGTCGAGTTTAACAACAATAACAACGTTTAAAGAAATGAAAACGCAAAACAGAAGAAGAAAAAAGGATAGATAATAGAAGAGAAAGAAAGCATAATGAAACGATATAAATGAAAGAGCATATTAAAAAACGCAAAACAAGAGAACGAAGCGATTTTCGAGGAGTTAGCTGCGTCTAACAACTAAAACATAAACACAAATAATTCCTTAAAAGTTAGAGAACATGAAAATTCAATTCAACTTTCAATTCAATGCCGAGCAAACAAAATGCATTTTCGATTAACATGAAAACGTTAATTTTCACACATTTCACTTAAGTCATGTTCTTGTTGAATTTATTTTCAAAAAAAATGTTTTTTTTTTTTTTACTTTTCTCAATGGCGATTAATTGTCGCCGCGCTAATTGGCGTTACACAATTTTTGACTAACTGCTTTGAAATGCAGTCAGTGCACCATAAAAGACTGCAAATGCCTACAAATCATATTAAATTTGAAAAACAAAACAAAAAATGAAAGAAACAATAAGTTATTTATTCCCTCATGTGTTCATTGCCAATTAATACGAATCGTGCATAGGCTTTGTTGGCTGTATTGTATTGAATGCAAGACGATTGATCAGGTGACGTTTGTTGCCAAAAGTATATCACAAAACATTGATAATTTAAATTGTTTTACATTTCTTTCTGTTTTTCAATGAAGCATTATTGTTCGCACAAAAACGTACTGTGCAAATCTTATATACGCTTTAAATGTATTATTGATTTCATTTCACAAACTTTCCGAACTCGCTTGCTGATCATGCATTTCGGTCTTGCCTTTTTTATTGGTTTTCAAATTTTTCATTTCTTAGAAGCACTTTTTAGTGGTAAATTATTGTTCAAGTCGCGCGTTTCAAAATGCATTATTGAACTTCTAAAATTATAAGTTTTTATTTAGTCATAGCTTTTAGCATTTGATATTTTAACTTGTTTGAGCTGAATTAAAATTTTTATTGAAGTTTAATTTCGTTCAGCGAACTCGAATTGTTTATAATAATTAAAAAATAACATTTCTTAAAAACTATGATGCTCTGAAAGCTGTGGTCTTTGAGGCATTTGTTATTTCTTTGATTTTTAAGTGCTGTACGCATAGGCAACTGTTTAAAATCGAATGATTTCAAGCGAAAGTACGCGTTACGCCTTTTTACTTACCGGAATCTCATAATTATTTGCCTAGTATTCATTCAGTTCAAAAAAATCAACAGCAGAGGTTCAAACCTAACCTTGAATTATGCACCTGTTCGTATACGAACAATATTTATTTACCTACCTCTGCAATCTGCCCCTTTTGCTACCTTTTTCTAAAGAATTCATCGGTTGTCTCTCGAATAAAAATTCATTCTAGCCTAGAAAACAAACACTTAATTTGTTAAATTTCTTCTGGCATTAATTTTCATCAAGCGCATAAAAAAATAATTCAAGTTCTATTGAATATAACACACATCATTTTTTTTAAATCATTCCTTTACAAAATTCATTTGGTTCCTTAAAAATGGCTCCCTAATTTCCAACACTCCAAAATTGATATTTATGACTCACCGTTGAGTTTTTAACACTCAATTTTCCAAACCTTTTTTTATAAGAACTTTCGCATTGAATTATTTTTTATCTATCTAAATTCGGCAAAAACTTTTTGTGAATGAAAGCATTTTTTTGGCTACCTGTAATGGTGCAACTAGAAATTTTTTCACAAAAAACGTTTATTAGTAAATTATAGTATAATATATAATTTGTGTTTTCCAAATCAAACAGTATTTTTGTCCAATTTTGAATTACTCAGAAACGAAACCATAATTTTTTAATTTAAGTTTTGCGCATACTCTGTTTTGTTATTTTTCCTCTTTTTTGCAAATTATTATTTTACTATAATTTTATTAGTTTTTAATAATATTTACACTCGTTGAATTGAATTGAATTCTTGATTAACAAAAATTATTGCAAAAATTCCAAAAAAAAAAATGTTGAATTTAATTGGAAACATTTTTTGTTATTGTTGTTAATTAAAAAATGCGAAATAAAGCAAACTATCACTTTGAGTTTTCATTTCTTGGAGCAAAAACAAACGAACAGCATGGAATCTGTAAAGTAAGCTATTGTATTTGACTATAATCTAATAGCTAAAGAGAGGCGGGTAGCAAGCTTGAATTGCTTTGAATTTTTGGTACTAAAACTTCAATAGCTTTGCTGATGATGAATAGAAAAAGTTGCAATGGAACGTGTTTTTATTAAAGTTTTTAGGTCCCTCTTTCGAAGATGAAAAAAATGAAAATTTAAATTGGAAAACCCTCAAAATCAAACCTAAAAACTTAAGCATTATTTTTTTTATATTTTCGAGTTTTCCAATTAACGGAGTCAGCTAAATATGTTATCAAAAATGGACAATCCACAAGCAGCAATTTAAAAATTTGTTGTAAAGTGTTCCTATAATATAAATTATAGCAAAAACATGAAATACCTACTATTTTGAATTTTTTCCATATTCAACAATTTTTGATTGAGCTTGAGGCCGTTTTTGATGAAAAACTATTGGGGAAAAGCAAAAATAATTTTGAAAAAAAACGGCAATAGTGATAGCTATTTCCATATTTTTAAAATTTGTATAGTTATTTTTTCTGCGAAATTATAGCATTTGAAGTAAGCTGAAGAAATGAAAATTGAAAATGAAGAAACGACGAGCTATGAAATGTCAAAACTTAGTAAATATTTTTTTTTTATCTTTGCTATATTTTTTTATTTTTGCCTCTAAAGCAATGACGAGGGACCCAATAGTCCCTATAGTCAGGTTATTCCTCTTACTATGTTATATTCCAACTGCTGTGAGTAATCTTCAGGTATGTCCAACGTTGCTCCACTGATACACGTATGGTAATACCGCTGAGGGCCAGAACCACGTGCAAAAGTTTCTGCTATGTTTACGTCTTCAATTCTTTATTTCTTATGAAATGTTATATAATTTTAAAATGTATATTGTGATTTTTGGTTGGAGACCTTACGATTCACAAGTGTTGTGTTATTCCTCAAATTTAATAATTATTAATTATGCGTCAGATTATATTAATTCTGTATGTGTTTAAATGGCAGGGAGCTAGCTATGTCATCGTACCGCCAGGTTATGCCTACAATTTAATAATTTTATAATTATTCGTCGAATTATATTTGTTAAAATGTAATTTTCTACAATTTAGATAAAATTTATTTCTTTAAAATTTTCATTATTTATTTCTTGGAACAGTTATGTTGACGAATTTTTTATTTCACAGTTAATTTGTTCATACGATAGTATCGTTTCAACGGTACGTATTTAACATTTTCGTTTAATTGCAATCTTTTAATTCTTCATATCAACGTGTATTACTTTGATATGTAAATTTATTTTCTAGATATTATCTTCACTTTATTCAAATTTAAAATGTTATTTTAACCAAACGCCTTAATTTTTTTATAATTATTTCAATCTAAACTGAAGTTATGGAAGAAGATTTAGGGTTTTTGCGCTGACATTTGTGTCTTAATAGGGTCCCAAAAATTTTGTGTACCAGAAAACTTTTTTATAGGGGAGTTTTGGCATACTAAAATTATTATGGCAAGATATCTACTAACACTTTCAATCGGTAGAGCAAATAATATTAGGGCGCCGGTTCAAAGTTTTTTTTATAGCGATTTCAACACAAACTACAGGAACTTTTTATAGAAATAATTGCAGTTCGTTCTAACCGCAAGGTTTTGTTTTTTAATTAGTGAGCTGCAAAGTGTTAACTAATTCAAAAAATTTCATTTAAAAAAATTCTATAAATCGAAATCATTCGCTAATTCCAAAAAATAATTTTGAAATTTATTTGCTTTCACAAAATTTTCACAGAGCTAAAAGATTATCGAGTGTAACTAAAAATGAAAATTGAAAATGATACGTGCTACTAAATATAAAAAATTATAAACATTTTTTAAACGTGAGCAGTTTTTGCTATAAAAATTAATTATTGACAAAATCGGAGCTAAAATTGTGCAAATTAAAGGACCTTTTGCTTTTTTATAAGATGACATATTTTAAGTTTGTATGGAAAAATAATAGTACACAAAAATTACATTTTTATCGCATACTTTAATAATAGTCTTATAATTTTTTATGGGTGAATTATGACAAGTTTTTTGATTACTTGTTGTATAGTCTACTACCGTTTCAATTACATAACCAACTTAATCGAAATTTGATATTTTTTATAGCCGTATAGACGTTTTGAGCTGCTCAAAACCCACAAAAACTTCACCTTTTTCAATAAATTAGCTCCAAACCGCCTAGTGATTTTGTATAAGCATTACAAGAAATAAAGAGTTTGAAGAAAATGTAAGCATAATTTAAAAAAAACAAAAATTATAGCAGCTCAAAAATAGGGTAAAACAATTTCGAAAGCATCCCGCGCCACGAGCATATTGAAGGCAACATTTTCAAGTAGCTGTTTTTTTATTAAATACACACACACTTTAACTATGTTATTCAATCTAAGCCGTCGACTCTCTCGTAGGTGATTTTGAAAAACTAGAATTAATTAAACTACAAACATTTGCTCTCTCTGGTTGAAATATATACATAAATTGCACAGTAATCGAAGTACATAGTTTAATTATATAGCTTTAACTAATTTAGAGATACCATAATAAGTAATGAATTTATTATAAAAAATAAACGTTTAACCTAAAAAACCATAAATCCGATATTTTTATAAAACCCGCTTGGAAAGAAATTTGTATATATTTGTAATGGAAATCACCTTAAAATGGAAGTTATAATTTTTAATTTTTTAATTTTTAGGACTATAAAAATAGTGGCTGACTTCTGGTATTGATTTAAAAAAAATTGTGGGTGAAAAATATTTTTTCAATAGTTTATTGCTGAAGAGTAAATATTGTTTCACTTGTTGGTGTTTCTCTTATGTAATTATTATTTTCTGCCTTTTTTCTTTTAATTTCTGGTTTGTTAAATTTTTATTTTCTTTGTGTTTTTCTTATACAATAAATTTTTTGGTATATCTTCTTTTAATTTCCTGTTTATTTTTAATTATCTCTTGTATTTATTTTATTTTTATTTGATTCATATCTTATTTCATATCACTGAACCGCTATTTGCGAATGTTTCGCTTATTTCTTTTAACTTTTTTAAATCAAAATCTGTAAAAAAAATTCTTCACATTTATTATGGCAAATTGAGCAAAAAAGAAAATTGTTCAAGAAATTATGCTTTGATTCTGCCTAGAACGCTATTCAGTAGAGATACTTTGTATTTTTAATAAAAAAATGTCGGTTTTTGATACCTGATTTCCACCCGGAATATTAAATAACAAAAGGTTTTAATTACATGAAATGAGTCTTTGTTGCATTAAAAATGTGGTTTAAAAAAGAGCTTAACTGAATTTCCACTAGGCATTAAAAATACCTGTGCCATTACGTTCTTAAAAATAGTCATAATGTACATATATTTCCACATGGCATTTTTTTAATGGCAAAATTATTTGTCATTTCAATACCTAGTAGAAATTCGGCATTCAGGACTTCTCTTTATGAACGCAATGTTGCGGGTATTTTCGAATGACCAGCTTCTTCATTAAAATATTTGTCATTTAATTCCTAGTGGAAATGCGGTATAAAAAATACCCCGTCATTACGTTAACAACAAAAGTCATGGCATTTTTTTAATGGCGCAATTTTTTTTTGTTTTTGTCATTTCAATGCTTGGTGCGAATTCGGCATAAAAGTTAAATCTAATAGGGGTATTCTCGAAATCTTGCAAAGCATTTTAATTTTCAAATTTATGAAAAAATTTGCAAAACTTCGAGAATAGCCCTATTGTTTTTGCTGCCTTGGATCTTCAACTTTTACAACAAAAGTTTTTTTGTTGTCAATAAAAATTTCGTCATCGCTTTTTTTAACAACAAAGTTGAAGTTTTTGTACCAAAATTAAAAACTTACAGTTAACTTAAAATCAAAGCAATGCAAACAAATTATAAAACTGTCGAGAAACAATTAAGAGATCATTGATTTTTTACAGTACGTATTTGAAAATTCTTTTTCAAAATCTTTCAAACTTTTTTCTCTAAATTTTTAAGGCAGTTATGCTTAAATTTGCAGAGAATTTTAAGAAATTGTATTGAATTTTTTTATTTATTTAACAAGTCGAGGCCTACCAACTAAATAAAACTCAAATTTTCGAGCTTGTAAAAAAAATGCATAGTTAAAAATTCAAAGGGCAGTAAGCAAAAGCAAAGTACTGAAATTTTTTCTAAAACATTATTACATTATAGCGCAACAATGACATCAGAAAAATCTTAAAAAAAAAATTACAGTTAAAATGTTTTTTTTTTTCAAGGAAAAAAGTTGCCGTGATTTTCGGACATATTTTTTATGTTTTGGCCTTTATTTTTATGCTCATAATCAGGCTTTATTTATGTATTTATTTTTTCTACGAAACAACATTAAAAAAAAAACCAACCCAAACCTTAAAAAATCTTATTCCGTAAATGTTTCTTTGCTTATCTCACGTTTTGGAATGACATAGTAAATGTCAGAAAAGACTTATCAAATTTTAGTCATTGCATCCTTTTTTTATTTATATACATATGTATGTATGTTAGTAAAAAATCTTTAAAAATTTTGGATAGATATTTTTTGTCAGAAAAAGTTGCCAAAAATATTTTGAACATAATTTTTTTTTTTAAATTTCTGAAATTTTCATACATTTTTTGTTTCTGAAACGTATGTACATATTTCTTGTGAAAGTCTGCTAAATTGTCTGCTAAATTTTTACCTTTAAAATATTTTGTTTGTTTTCTTTGAAACGTACATATATTTTTTGTAGAAAAGTCTTAAATCCAAAATTGTTATATTTGTTATTTATTTATTTGACATTTTTAAAGCTTTTATACTTTTATTTATAGTTTTACCTTTGATACGTAATAGTTTTTTATGAAAATTCTGCTACATATTTTGTTTTTAATTAATTTCTTTTGAAAAAAATATATTTTTGTGAAAAGCTGCTATATTTTCCTTTTAAAATTTTAAATTGTTTCTTGTCTTTCCTTTTTGAGCATAATTCCTAAATATTCTTAATATAAAAAATTTGTTAGTGCAAATTTTTTTTAAGCTAACTTTATATTCTATCAATTTGTTTAGTTTTAATCGAACATTTTTTAAGCTTTTGTGCACAGTATACATTTTTAGAAATGTTAATCATTTTCTGTTTTGCTAAATTAAAAAAATATCTTTTTGCATAAAAAAGATTACTAGATCAAGCAACTGTTTTTTTCTCAATCCCAAGTAATTTAGAAACGTCAAATATGATACGATGTTCTCTTAATCACGAAAATTTCAAAAATATTTCGACAGTTAGATACGTTTCTGAACTTTAGGTTTCGGAACTTTGAAGAAATATTGCTTATTATCTTAAGCTCAGAACACACGGCACTTTGAATCGCATTTAATAATAATAGATTGGCGCTTACACATATGTTAGTGTTTGGCCGAGCTTCTCCTCCGATTTGTGGCGTGCGCCTTGATGTTGTCACACAAGGGGGCGAGACCTACAGTTTTACGCCGACTCCGAACGGCGATTGTATTTTTTGAGCAGCTGTTTTTTCATGGCAGCAATGTTTGCCATTGCCTGCCAAGGGGCGACCGCTGTTAAAAAAAAAAAAAATGTTTCTAAATTATTTGCGATTATTTGCCACTACACCATAGCGGCCGCCGCATTTACTTTACGAATAAAGGAGACAATTCAAAGAGGATAGTTGAAATTAAAAACAAAAATGCATAACCTTTTCTTTTTTTGTTATACTTCAACTTTGTAGAAGTAAATTACTCTATTCATCTTTACATAACCTAAAATATTTATATTTAATTTTTGTTTGTATAGATTTATATATTTTTAGAACTATTTTAACTTTTTTTATTGAAATTTAACAATTTGCCCGGTATTTCCTTTTTGCGCTGTCGAAACTCTCAACCTAAATTTTATTTCGCATCTCTTTTCCCTTACTACAGATGTTCTTTGAGGATAATATCGACAATGCCAAATACTGCGGACATCTCTATGGACTTGGCACATCATTTATAGTAAACGGTTCCAACTTCCACGACAGTAACGGCGAGAGCAACAATGCATCGTGATTCGTTTTCATTGAACGGACGGTGAATAAGGCGAACTGATTAAAAAGTAGGATTCCAAACGTCGTGCAGAAGATGTTAGATGTTTTTTTTATTATTCTAAACAAACAACAGCAACAAAAAATAAAAACACAGTAAGGCAATTAAGTAGGCAAACTAACTGGTTAAGAGAGAAATTCAAGCAATTCTTAAACAAACAAACAAAAAAACAGCAAACGGCTTAAGAATAAATTGTTGTAAACAAGGAGGGCGAACAAAAAATCATCATCTAAGTAAACTAAGCAATGCATCCTGCACACTGCAGCTATCAGGCGGGGCGAGACAAAAACCGCAAACTTGTTAGATGATCACTTAGAAGCATAACAGAAACAAAATTGAAGAGAAATCAAACAAAATGGCACTAATTTATTTACAAAATATTATGTTTAATCAATGATTATACGAAAAAATTCGGGTACACATACACAAATGTGCACTTTGTAAAACAAAAAAAAAACAAAAAATGTGAAACAATAGTAAACATACATTTTTTTAACGCAAACTGCTACCTACATATTTCTACCATTATTAACTACAACAATAACAAATGCAATCGTTATTGATTACAACTTATTCAACGTCTTGCTAATATTTATATAAATATATTACTATATGTATGTGTATGTAAGTTAGAAACTTTAAGCTACTTCTAAAAGTAAAACTCTAAATGTAAATCTAACTTATAAAGAAATCAAAAAAACGTACGTAGAAATATATATATTATTATACATATACATATACTCCTCTGTAAACGTTGTTGTCGTCCCTTCCTTGTACGTGCAAAAACCGAAAACATTTAATTAAACTCTAAAACTTGTATTTTGTTGTAGGAAAAAGTAAAAATTATACAAACAAAAAACAAGTAAAACAAACCACACTAGTTTTAACAAGCAGAGAAAAAATAAAATTAAAAAATTATAAAAAAATAATTGTAGTTTTTTTTAATTCGTATTTCACTTTACCACGCACCAAGCAAAGAACTTAAAAAAATATAAATTGCATCACAACGAAAAAACTGCAGTTTATGCTGCACACCCAGACCATTTTGCATTTCGGTTGCTCAATTCACTTTTTCAAGCACTAGCGCCCGCATGTCACCTATGTTTCCTCCATTTTAATCACTCGTGCTTCATTTATTATTGTACATCGATGCAATAGCAGGATCCTCAGTCTCATAGATTATTAGCACATCACGAAATTTATCTAGCAGTTGCAGCAATTCGGCTGGACGCAAACTTTGAAAGTACATAATTTCCTCTAGGTGATGTTCACTTTTGAAATAACCCGCTTGATAAAGTTTAACCAACAAAGAAAGATCATCCACATTCGACGATGCTGGTATGCGCCTTATAGCCGCACGATCCGCTTCATTGAAAACGGAGAGAAGTTCTTTGATTTTCTCTTCATCCTCGATGGAGGCGATGCTTTCGCAGTTTTCAGTGCTAATGGAGGCGGTCATGCTGTACAAGGTAGATATACATGATTTCATACTATTTTATATTTATTTAGCACGCTTACCTAAAATTGGACTTGTGACTAGACGAAGGCTGCGCCACTATATTGTCTGATGCCGTTGAACAGCCGCCAGAGTAGCGATCATCAGTAATCGAACGATGGCTGGTGTGTGGCACTGGCAGCGGTTGGCTGGCGCAGGAGAGCAGTGAGCCAACGTTGCTGCAAAAATATTTAAATAAAAGCTATACAAATTTTATCAAACATAACTGCCTGGCTACTCACAGCTCATCATCGCTGACATTAATGCTCCTACTCAGCGGCGATATCATCAATTCGCCCACATTGCCGACACCCATAGAACTGATTGTATTGGTGCCCTCTTGCAAATCCATTAGCGATGACTTGTGTTCATTTTCAGCATCGCTACACCCCGAACATTCGCTGCCTGCCACATTCATCGTGCTCACACCACCATAGAAATCATCAAAATCGCTGGGCATAAACTGTACATACGTATGTAATTGCATAAGCAGATGATGCTGCAGCATCCACACAACCATTTGAGCGAGCATGCCTTGTCGCGCTGACTGCTGTAGCGGTGTGGTCAAATGTCCAATGGAAGTAGGGAGCGAAAAATGTGAAATGGCATCAAATAGTGACATGCCAGCAAAGCGCGCAGAGAATTTCTCCACTAAATGCGATTTTGTATGCAACGGCGCATCGGGGGCAATCACATAAACATTCGTTTCGCAGAGTGGATATATAATAGTCGCCTTGCCCCAGTAAACCAAGTGTGAAACCATTTTGTAAACATGCTCAATGCTCATATCTGCCTCGGAGGCAAGCATTTGCAAACTCATCAAAGGTGTGTAGATTTCTACTAGCTGTAGTAGCATGCGCGCTGCACGCGGTGGCACGCAATCGAGCAACTCGGCATAGTCAACGAGCAACATACCATGATAGGGCTTTAACGAACGCAAACAGCGGTCTATAGCCTCCGGGTCAACCATGCTGCCCTTCTTGTGCAACTGATGCGCTTTCTGTGGCAGACAGAAGCTCACTGTCAAGTACTGATTTAAAGTTGTATTCAGCAATCCAGTTGTGCATAAATCATGATAGATTGACTTGAGCGCTTGCGCCAAAGTACTGCGTTCGGCGATGGCATCAAAAGTACGCTCCAACGGCTGCTGTTGTGACGACAGTTCGTCATGTGTGCGTGCCATAAGCATGGTCTCCTCGGTGCAGTAGCCAGTACGTTGCTCCTCGACACGTAAAGCCAAACCCAGCCGTTTGCTTAGTTCATAATAGCACTTTACTATGGAGTAACTGGCCTGCGCATGTAAGGCAAAGACTATATTTATAAGCATTTGCTGTGGCTGAGATTTCGGCTGTGGCAAAATTAGCACCGAAGTTGTTGTACTACCACCAGGCACGCCCTGGCCTGACCCAGCAAGTGGCATATTCGTAGATGTGGTGCTTACATTAGTGCTGGCAATGCCACTACTTCCAGCGCTACTGCGTTGCTCTGTGCGTGGTATTAACGTAGGGTGCGATACGAAACGCACATCATTTACTTTTAATTCCAGTTTTTGGTTGCACAACTGCTGCTTTACAGCAAATAGCGTGGAGAGAACTTCATCGGTGAAGCCCTCCAGCTGTCCCTTCGGTACTGTAGTACACATTGCGCTATTGCAAACACCGAATACGGTGGTAGGTGCAACATTTGGTGGAGGCACAGTCTGTAATAGTTCATCGCTACTGTTAATGGCATAGGGATTGCGCTTTCTGCAAGTCTCCGAGGAAATTTGTGAGACTAGTGATGTGGACGAACTGCTCATTGCTACATCAACCAGAGGAGGATTATTCAAAACTGGCGCTGAAGCAGCGAGTGGCAAACCTTGTAACGGTGTCTTATCTGTGTTTTAAGGCAGTGGGGCGTGAATTATGCGAATTTTTTGTTGTTTTGTTTTTTCATAAGAAACTTACCTTTATAACCATTTTCGTACGGATAACGAAACAATAGACGATCACCTTTGCTGTCCATGTAAACAAGCATTACCGCAATAGGATTTACTTCCATTTCCCTTATTTTGTGTGGAAAATGATTAAAATTGTATAGTAATTGCGGTTTCATTTGACGAACGAACAGCTGTATTGATTGATTGCATGCTGATAAGGAATGCTGCTTCTTCTGACATTACTAGATCGCTCACAATGGATCAAGAATCGTAACAAAATAAGCAGCTCTATAAAAAATTAAATTTCGGTTTCGGGTTTTCAGAGTTTTTCGTTTAATCAAAAATAAATTTAAAGATAAACCTTCAGAACACTTCTCTTGCAGTAGACGAACATTTCGAGCAAGTGGAATAACAGCGTTTTGAAAGTGTACTCAAATTATCCCCGTAGAAATATTAGGCCAGCAACACCGCTCACAGCTGTCATTGGTTTATTTTTGTGCCTTCTTTCCCGGTTGCAGGAGCAATCGTTGTCCAGCCATTTTTGATCGTTGTAGTTCCTAAATCGCGCAATTTCCGTTTTTAATTAACACTTTAGTTATGAATTAATTAGCGGATGAGCATAACAGCATCCACTCACTATTAAGAAGCCGAAAATGGTACGTGTAAAGTGTGTATTTCTAGTCAAAAAAAAAAAGTGTAAACGTTGACCCAAAAGTAGAGGAAACGCACATTTTTTCGCAATATGCACGAAATATTTATGAAAATGTTTCCAAAAATAGATTGATAGCAGCGTAGCAACGTTGGCTGCAGACTTCGGTGTTGCTGCGCTGCACTTAAGTAATAATACGAGCTCTCTATATTGTTTCTTTATTTATAAATTTCCAGGCAGTGATTGGTGCACAGCTGGTACTGACGCTCTTAACATTGAGCGTTATACAGAAGCTAAGTCCACATTTTTCCTTCGCCAAGTGGATATTATGCGCCACAGGTCTATATAGATATCTACATCCTTCAGATGATGAGCTGCGTACGCTAGCTGGTGTACCTAAGGAGAAGCATACGAAAGGTGGGGGTAATAAAGGAAATAAGGGGTATGATGCGCGAAATGGTAGCGGGCAATTTCATATACCACGCAACTTGGAAGTGCAATTGGAGACAACGCCGGTGGTGGCTCGTGACGTAGTACATCTCAGGTATTTCACGGAATACCAGTGGTTGGTGGACTTCAGCGTTTATTCAGCCCTTGTGTATATATTATCCGAGGTAAAGAATTTCAGGCCTGTAATGTTTGCATTATAACAAATGTTTTCCCACAGATCTACCACTACTATTTTCCGTTGAAAAATGAGGTTAATCTGAGCATGATTTGGTGTCTGCTGGTTGTCTTTTTTGCGCTGTAAGTAAAGGACATATACATTTAAAAAAAACAGATACTTATTCATGGTATCGTGTCTTTAGCAAACTACTCTCCTCACTCACCTGGTTGTATTTTCAAAACGAGGAGTCCATTGGGGAACGCTCCATGGTCATAGTTGCCTGCCTTGTCTACCTACTTATTGCAATGATTGTGCTCATCATTGATGAACGTAATCTGGAGACTGGTATAGAACACGCATACAGCAGCTTCAATGAAAGCGCCTCCAAGTTCCTCACTGCACAGGGCATGACTTCGTCGTGCGTATATATAAAATGAATTTTGGTTTTTACGTACGCTTACTCAACTACTCTTTTATTCACAGTGGGCCCGCCTCAAAACTGATAATTAAACTATGCATGGCTGTTTGCTGCGGTATACTGGGCGCTCTATTTACTTTTCCCGGCCTGCGCATGGCAAAAATGCATTGGGACTCACTGAAGTACTGTAGCGGTCGCAAGCTGCTACAATTGTTACTCAATATTAGTTTTATTTTACCATTTCTACTAATAATACTCTGGATAAGACCGATTAGCAGGGAGTATTTGACTGAGCGCGTATTCGAAGGCAGGGAGAAGCCTTTGTATGTTTTCGAAAATTTATTTAATTTTTATGTTGGATTTGCATACATAACATTTCTTTACTTCCGCAGACTTTCAGTGGAGGCCTTTGAGACCATTCGCCTGCTAATTGTCATATTAATCGTACTACTACGTTTCGCTTTAATACCAATCTATTTGCAATCGTATCTAAATTTAGCGCATGATAAAATCGAGGATTTACGCAAAGAAGCTGGTCGTATTACCAATGTGGAATATCAGAAAACGGTTGCGCTTTTTCATAGTTTCAATTATTTTTATATAATCCTAGTGTATTTTCAGATTTCCTCCATATTCTACTATCTCTGCGTGGTGACCTTGCAATTCGCCGCACCACTCTTGCTTTGCTTATACCTCACATTGATGTATAAAAGTTTAGGCGAATTTACTTGGTCTGGCATATTGCGTGCTAGTACCAGCGTTTGTACTGATATGTGTCCTATAAGTGATGCGCCACAGGACGATAGTCTTATTGAGGCTATAACTACTATGCCTGCGCCGCCAGCTGAAACAACAGTCTTGAGCAGTATGCCATTGCCTGAAAGTGTTGAGCCAGTTGGTGAAGATTTTAATATTCTGGAATCTGCGAATGCGATACATGAACAGTGGATTAGCTTGAAAAATGTTTGCACATATAAAATTATTATTAATGTTTTATTAATTTTGAATTAATTTCTTGCAGGTTTTCAATGCTGATGTGTACAAGGGCTTCCTTGGCTTTGCCAGCTGGTGGAGTTATTTTACGCTTTTTACCTCCTCAGCACTCGGCGTTGTCTATCAATCTTATTTCAACCAAATGTGAAGCGTTAATATTTTTTTAACATCATTTCTGCAAACTCATATTTTTTACATCGCATTCAGGAAAGAACTGCGAAAAAATCTTAATTTTCAAATATTTTTCGTTTAATTTATAAAATTTCAGAAACATACATACATACCTGCGTGCCACGCATGCTTTCAATCCGAATTCATGGAACATTTTTTAGTTTTAAGTTTAATGGCTGGTTTCTCACTAGCCATAATTGTTTACCTAAAGTGTTTGCTTTTGTATTTTTAATTGGCAGTCAGGCAATAAAGAGGCATAGTGGATGGAATGTAAACATTATTTTTGTGTTATGACCCGGTTTCTTAGAGGAGCTAAACCTTAGCCACCATGATGGTAACCTAACCATTTTCCTGCGGAACGGAGAACTTAGAAACGTCTTCCGGTAGTTGATTATTTTATACATACATATATACATAAACACACGTCTTTCTATATTCACACAAATCTAAGCAAGGCCAAAAAAGCCTTAACTTTCATACACCCAATTCGTATCGTTTCAAATAAGGCATCATATTTACAAAAGTTTTAATACTTTATTGTATGTAGTATATATACGGTATGTAAGCTAACGAAAATTACGCCTACAGCACTAAATATATATATTCATATAATATGAATATGTATGTGTTAAGATAATAATGCATTCGATTAATTATAAATGCCCAAGTAGAATGTAGAGAGTAGACAGCAAAAGACATAGAGTAAATACTTTTCAAGTCGTCTGCAACGGCAAAACATAAACTCCTTAATTTTCTAATTCAATTCTAAACTTCGCATCGAAATTCCATTTAAATTTTATTCCCTTTTCCCGCTCAAAGTCCCAACATTTGCTCCTGTTTGTACACTGCGTGATATGCGTTACGTATGAGCACATAAGGGAAACAGGATTCAAGCAGATCCATTGTCAAGAAGGGCGATTGTTTGACAATCTCATCCAACAGCAAGTAAATTGATTCGCGATTACGTGTAGCCTCCTTGTCAGACTCTTGTCCCAAACGCAAAAGTGATGAACTCGCCAACGCCAAGAACTCTTTCATGCGATCCTCTATGTCATTTTCACCGCAAATCGTGAAGAGCGCACCAAATATATTATTAATAGCCACTGCCATGCAATGTGTATTATTCGAATGTCCATCGATGGAAGCGCGATAGAAAGATGTTTCGTTGCGCGCCAATTTTGGTATGGATACCGCAACAAAAACCATCAACAAGCATGAGACCAAGTGTTCGCCTTCATCAAATTCAGGTTTCTTCGATTTGAGTGTGGTGGTAAGCGTCGGATCGACTTTGCATGGCAAACCTGCTGCAGAAGCCATCTCGGAAGCGACACGTATTTGATCGCCACCAGGCAAATGCTCTTGAAAATCACACACTGAACTTAACAAGAAGGGTATACGTTTCTCAAGCACATCAACAAGCGCTTCATGCACCAAATTACGAAAGCAAAGTATAACGCCTATAATGCTCATACGTTGAAGTACGCGATCAACGTCCTGCAGGCGTTTGAATTGCTCCTTCATTACTTCGGGTTTATCGAAGCTGGTGCGCAACAGTATGAGCACATCTTTATTGGTGGCGACCAGCTGTTTCAGCTCCTGCACTTGATTGGCAATGTGCCACATGAGTGTCTCGTTGAGGGACTTAATGCCATAGGGACCGACAAGCTCGGCCAACGAACGCAGTTCATTTAAGTCAGAGAATTCTTGTGGATTGAAGGGCACCCAACCTTCGGGAGAAATGGGCACAAATGCTTTTTGATTCATAGAAAAGACAATATTGCCGGCAGAGACGCGACGCAGCAGTACTTCGCTGTACCTAAGATGCAGAAAATAAAACAGGTGATTTATGTACACTATGATAAGAATACAAGTATTGACTTACCATGTGTTATACAACGCCGCTATGGTCTTCTCACCGTGCGAATCCAACGTTTGTGTCTGCTGCAATAGGCAGTTGTTGAACACCCGCGTGATATCGATATGCACATAATTCTCTACAGTTTGGAGGACATTCATATATGCGCGTACGGTTGCCAAAAGCTCAGACGGCTTTGCAATTTCCATTGTATCCTGATTGAACATAACCATACCGACTAAATCGCGTGAAAAACGATGCTCTAAATTCTGGCATAGGTATTCGCGTGGTGCGAAAGCAAATTCCCATACATTCACTGTTGGACAGTAATTTATAGCAAAACACAACTCTGTCAGCGCCATATGTAGCTTATCCATGGTAGTCAAGTCTTCACGCGTCTTGCGATAAGATTCATCACCAGGCTTGCGTATGTCATCGAACTGCTTCTTAGATTTATCTTTCTTTTTGCGCGCTGACTGTACGGAGAGTATCTTGGCACAGTGTTTAGGCAAAAGAGCATCCGCCATGGTGCATTGCTCATCACAAATTGTGGTTATAATATTCTTGGCCTCCTTAGCCATCTCCTCCAAAAATATATTCACTACGCTTAGCGATCGTTCACGTATATGATGGCGCTCTTCGGGACACATTTCATGTGTACAATTTTGAAAGTGACTGCAAATTAAGGGAAATGCAATTATATAACGATTCTGTGCCGGAAATTCCAAGCACATATGAAATTGGTCATCAAACATTTTGCTATAGAAGCAGAAAATACTCAAATCCGATGTCTCAACGAGTATCTCGTCCAAGTTATCAACAACACGTGTATGGAAAACCATGGAATCAAGCAGGCGCGCCAATTCCACATTTTCAGTGATGCGTAGCGCCGCCTTACTGACGCTCATATAAGTCTGCAAGCGAAACCAGTCAAGCCGAAATGCGCGAAAATCAAATAACTCGTTATCTTCCACTTGCTTCACAGTCAAACTTGAAGCCGTATTGTAGAGCGAAGAAAATATTACGCTTTCATCCTCGGGACAAACTTGCAAACTCTGCATACGTATATTGAGGTCGATTGAATCGAACCCAGAAAGATATTGCACATAATAGCGTTGCATGACTTGGCTGTACTTTCGCACTAGCGCGCGCAGTTCCTCCATATGAAAGAGCAGCTCCGGCAATTGGCGATCGACAAGGTCCTCATTGGATTTACCTGCATTTTGGGAGGTTGAGACAAATTTCGCATAATAAATTTTAGTTTACCCATTATTATACAAAAATCATACCTTTATTCTTCTGCACTGGTGGATTGTCGTTGTGCCGCAGTAGCCACAAAATTTCGTCGCGCGCCAAGCACAAGCCTATAAAAATGAAAATCGCTTTGGGACCAAGCAAACCTGGTTGATCCGTCATGATCAACGCAAGCTCCTTCAAAGCTGTACGCAAAAACTTTCTCCGCTCACGATGCATTAGCGCTGCCTTCTGTGTTGCCACAGCATACGCTTCTTTTACCTCACTTATGCGCTTACTATATCCTTTTATACCATCGAAAGTACCCTGTATGTATTGATGTATTTGCAGTACTTCATCGCGAAACAACGCAATCACCCAACTCGACTCCAAAGCCGATATCCATATTTTATTTACTTCCTGATACTGTCCAAGCATTTGATGGTTCAACAGTAAACCAAAAATTATCCAACGGTCCATTGCTTCAAGCGAGACATATTCGCAGGACATTGTATCGGTGCGCACAGCTTTCAAGAGTATGGCAGGATTGCCCACCAAACTGAGCTTTTGCATTTCACGCCATTTATCAGCTGGCAAATTGCGCAAGGGATAGATTATCGTAAGCGAGCGTAATGCGTTGGTCAGCAAACGCTGATGTGGTATGAACTCTTCCGATAAGCGCTTCAGTGGCACCTCATAATCGAGTATCATCTGCCCAAGACGCGGAAAACCCGAATCAGCTTGATTATTTTGCAATTCGTAAGCCGCATTATAGAGCCCCAATACAGCTTTGCGATCTTCAACGCGCGACAGTAGTATCATCAAAGAAACGTATGTGACCACCAAATCCAGATAATTTTTTGTTAACTCAAAATTTTGTGTAATGTCCAGGTGTATTTGGCATGCATCCATTGTAGTGAGCAATTCGCAAACATTATCTTTGAAATCTAGCAAATCGACAAAAGTGTGATAATAAAGCGAGAGAGATTTGATAATTTCCGCTTTTATGTTGACTATTGCATTCAATCCCTTGACATCAATATTGGGAAAACGCTTGACTATGAATTTAATTGACGACTCAAGCGACTTGTCCGATAAGAAACCTGGCTTCGATTTAGTATCGCCGCATGCTTTTTTAATGTTGTAAATTCGTGTCAGAATACCCAGGCCCCGATCATTGAGTATAACTAACTTTTCAGCAATTTTCTGCTGATTTGGATAAATTGGGCGTGCCATAGCGGCGGTCTGCCTGGCTGTTTCGATTTGCTATTGCAACAATTTTTTCTTTTGCTGTGCCCGAGCGTCGCACCTTTGCCAGTGCTTTTGTTGTGGGCGTCTTTTCTTTTATTGGAATGCGTTATATTACTGTTTATACTAATGTAAGCAACACTTTCCACTTATTTGTTGTTGAATAAAATCATTTTTTACTATAATTTAGTAAGATTTTCTGCAAGCGCAATTTTTTCACACACCGATTTTTTTACGTTTGCTTTGCTGCTTTATTCGCTGGTAAATGTCAAACAGAAGAGAAAGAGGATAATAAAATATTAGGGTGCGCTAAGGCAAGGTTGGGCTAAGACGATACGAATTGCTGAAGCCAAAATAAATGTGCGGATGTATGGAATTATACTAACTCCAAGAGATGACTGACGTCACAGTACTTAAAGAACTATATAAGCTACCTAGAGGGAAATATCGTAGAGCAGCACAGCCACATCACGCGGCTTATCGTGGCTATATCGTCTGGGTAACCATACTATATACATACTAACCGTACTACCCAGCTAGCGAAATTGCCAGAAATCTATTAGATATTTAGACTCTTCGTCAAAAAAGTTCGAAATCTGTATGATTCCTGGCCGTTATCGATCAGAGAAGCGTGTGAAGAGGTTGACAGGAAGTCTAACCAACACTTCGTAGGAATTTCTGACTTAATAACCGACGATTCTGACGGATATACAACAGATTTTCGACCAAATAATCATGGAAAATAAGAGTAATCTGACGTGTCTGTCCGAAATCGGACATAATTTGATCAGAGATGTCGGTTAAGGAAATAAATAAAATTCTCCAGACACTTCGCCCAGAAATCAGTACGAAACCTGTAAGACCTGTCTAAATAGTCAACTTTTTATTCAGACATTTGTCTGGCAAATTTGCTAGCTGGGTACACACATACATACATTTTAGCCGATGATATTAATCTGCCAATCGGCACAAAAAATAATATCCTACTTGCTATGTACCCTATAAATTCTTTCCTGTTTTGGTAATTGTATAAACGTAATTATATACGTTCTCTGACAAAAGTCTTGCAAAAAAAGCTCGCTTGCCAACTTTGATGGCGAAAAACATATTTCAAATGGAGATGTACATACATATATCATTTTGCTTGCGTTGCCTCAACAATCGCAATGGCGGAGTGAACAAAGCACTGGCGTGGCATTCGTGAGATCTGAGGTTCGAACCCGTGGGCAGCGATTTTTTTTTATTTTTATTTATATATTTCTTTATATGAGTATATTTTTCCTTTAATTTATTTTTTGTTTGTTTCTAGATTCTATTTTTTTTAAGAAAATATATGTTTTTTTATTTAATTTAACTTATTTTATTTAATTATTTGTTTATTTTTAAATCAATCATATATTATTTAATTTTTAGATTTTGTTATTTTACTCATTAAACGCGAAAGCAAAAGAGGAATCAAATTTTGGAGGATACTAAAAGAGATGATATGTACAAAAACCCATAATAAAAGGTTTCGACCTCTATCAAGGGATGTCTGTACGACCTGAAACATATATGTAATACTCGTGAATCTTTGTTATGTAATAAAAATTTTCATAACAACAATATCAGTCCAAGAAATTCGAGCGTTACATATATGTAACACTATTTTTATTTCAATTAAAATTATTAAATTTTTTATTTTTTTTTTTATTTCATATTTTTTGATAATTAAATTTTCTTTACTTCCAAGATTTTATTAAAAAAATGTATACATATATATTTTTAAATTTCATTTAATAAGCAAAGCACTTGCGTGATTTTTTTTTTTGTTTTTAAGAAGCAGATGTATTTTTTCTTTTAATTTAATTTTTCGAAATGAATTTTTTTTATTTCTTTTTATTCAATTTGTTTTTCTTTTTTTGATTTTTCAGTTTTGTTTTAACTTTTGGACTTTATTGCTTTAAAAAGATACATTACCTTATTTAATTTTGTTTTCATTTTATTTATTTTTTTTCTTTTATTTATGTTTATTATTAATGTTTATTTAATTTCGTTTTAATTTTTGGTTTATTGTTTTTAAAAATTAAATTTTTTTTAATTGTTTTTAAGTTGCAAACCACTGGCGTGCCTTTCGAGAGATACGAGATTCGAATCCTTTTTAATTTTCAGATTTAATTTTTCTAAAAATAAATAGTTTAGAGACTTATTTTATATTTTTTATTTTTTTTAATTTAATATGTTTTTTTTTTTAATTAATTTCTTTTAGCTTTCGATATAATTTTTTATTATTCTTTAATCTTAAGAATCTTATTTTATTTGTTTCCTTTTTTGTATTTATTATTTAAATTTAATTAACATTTTTAGATTATATTGCTTTATTGAGAATAAAAAAAAAAATATTTCTATTTAATTTTTTGAAACTTATTATTTGGAATTTTTTTCTTTTTGTAAACTTAAATTTGTTTTTTGTTTCTTTTTGTACATTAATTTTCCTTTAATTCTTAGATATTATTATTTTAAAAAGGAAACATTTTTTTAATTGCGTTTAAATTTTTAAAAATTATTTTTGCTTTTTTTTAAATTTCTTTTCTTTTTTTAATTTTTAGATTTTATTGTACTAAAAAGACATTTTTTTAATCTCCTTTGATTTTTAGAGTAACATTTTTTTATTTAATTTTGATCCTTTTTTGATAAAATTTTCTTTTAATTATTAGATTTTATTTCTTTCAAAAGAACAAAACCTTCTTTTAATTTCACTGAATTTTTAGAAACTTATTTTATTTACTTATTCTTTTTTAATTTAGTTTCTATCTTTTTTAGTATTCTTCTAAATTTTCGTTTTTATTGCTTTAAAAAAATAGACACACGAGACAAACAGAATAACGCTAATACTTCCTGGTTAGCAGATCTCTCAATTAGTCTTTCGAAAGACAGAAAAGAGCCTCCAAGATGGTTGCAAAAATTGACAATTATCTATCGAAAGTCTTTTGTCTTTCGAAAGACTGTGGAGAGTTGAAAGACAGTTGCCAGAATCGCCCAGTAAAGCAATTTTTCATGGATCGCTCCCAGGTGGGTTCCATCCAACATATGAGAAGATATAAGAGAATGAGAGTCGGCATATAACCGCCGATAGCAAAGCGCTACAGCTGCTATCGAAAAAATGGAAACAGCTTAGCTTTTACCGACCGAGCCGCAGCAGGAAACGGCATAGTAGGTATTTTGGGGTAATGAGGGAGTTCAAAGAGCGATGTACAACCGTGACAGTTTGACATTTCTTTCAACTGCTTTTGGCAGCTGAGTGGGAGAATGAGTGCAACGTGACAAAAAAAAAACAAATGTTTAACTTCAAAGTGCGGTGCCAAATACCAAAAAAAGTGAGTAACAACAACACAACCAAATGGCACAGTGACAACAGAGAAAATCACAACAACTCAGAAGTGCAAATACAGGCGAACTTCTGTTTGTTTTCATTATTTATCGATCATGCGCAGTGCCGATGGTAGGCGAAACTCATTGCAACTTGCTGTCAGACCCAAATTGTTTGTACGAGTACGTATAGGAATGTATGTTTGTATGTACGTATGTGTGCCTGTGCCAAAGCATGGAGAACAGAGTGGAAACTTCGCTGACTGACATTTGAAAGCAGCAGCGCATAGCAGTGGAACAAGCAATCGAGCTGGACTGAATTGAATTGAACTGAATTGAATTGCAGAAGAGCAGCCAGAGCGCAGAAAGCAAGTCGACGACGAAGACGACATACGAAAAGGCTGGCAGGCTGGCAAAGGCAGGCTTTTGGCCAGAGAAAATTTTTTGTAAAAAGAGATAGAACTTAACAAAATTTTCTACCTTAAATTAATAGTAAAAATATGTAAAAAATCAAAACGTTAAGCTTAGCGAAGTACGGGAAAAAATGGGAGTGCAAGTTTTCGGCAATAAAAAAGTAAATGAAGTGTGAAAAATTGCTGCGGAAAATATATATATGAAAAGTTCCCCCATGTGAAGTATCGAATGCATACACATACCGACACACATAAGTGAACGCATACACATAAATAAGTAGTTGAAAGGAATGTGCTGAACGTGTTTATATGTAACTGTGGCAGTTTGCAATGTGCACTAAAAGCTTTAAAATAAAATTAAAATAAAAACAAAAAGGAGGACATCATTCATAGGGAATTTTCTAATTTTTATACGCGAAAAATGTATTCATAAAAAGTGAACAAAAAAATTCCAAAGCATACTTTGTGGCGTTTTAGTGCAGTAGCCTGAAGCACAAAGCAGATAAGCAAAAGAAAATACACGCATACATACACACACAAACAACTGCCAGTGCAATCGCCGTGAGTACAAAGGATATCAGGCATTTAGGGGACGCAGGCACACACACACACACACACACACACACACCCAAACACACAGACACAGCTATAACAGGGCAACGAACGAAACACAAAACAGGAAAGCCGCACGCAAGTACGATATACATATGTACATACATATAGCAAAAGGCACAGACGAATCAACGACCAACGTTCAACAGTGCGTATGAGTAATCTGGAATTGTCAGCGGAATTGAATTAAAAATTTTGAAGCAGTTGGCCGGAAGGCGCATAGTTCAATGGCATGCAAGGCGGATCAACATTTCGGCGGGTGCTGGCATTGTTGTTACTGTGGCGAGGTGTATTGTTGTTGTTAGCAGGCAATGCGGTGGCAGCCATAACGAGAATAAGAACAACCGCAACCACAGCCACAATCCCAGCGTCGTTGAGACAGTCGCATGCAAGTGCAACAGCCCGGCACACACAAAGGACAACAAAGCAAAACGAACGTGCGGTCAGAGAGATATAGCGCGTTAGCTGGCAACACTGGCGACGACTAGCAACGACAACTATTAGTGTGAGCTAACTGAGCAGAAGGAGGAGGTGCAGGCGGAGGAGACGAAAAGCAAGCAGCAGCAGCAGCAAAAGGAAGGAAGCAAGGAGACAAATAGCGGAAATTGAAGTCTCGTATAGGCAGGAAGTGGCACAAGAGCAGCAGCGGAACTTGTGTGTAGTTAAAGTCAACAAAGGCACAAATTAAAGGATAACTAAAAGAAAAACTAAGATTTTTACCGACAAAAAACACAAATCAATTTAAGAAAACTTTAACAAAAACAAAAAAAAACCAAGTCGGCCGCAAACAAGTCGGCCACCTCTATTGAGAAAGAAAAAAATCAGAGCTGTTAAACTGGCACCACCCGTGGTACCATCCGCCTCGAATACGATTACAATTGAGACAACGATCTCAACATCGTCACCGCAGCACAGCCTCAGTGGTGGTGGCGTTGTCGGCGGCGGCAGCAGTGCCAATGTCTGTGCCAGCTTGGCCAGCATTGGCATTGGCAGCACGCTCTGCAGCAGCGGCGACAGTGGCATTTCCTCGTCGACGCCATCGTTGGTCTCGCAACTCTCACCACCGCCCACCATAATATGCAGCATGCCCGCATCTTCGATCTCGAACAACATCGCCAACGCCATGACACCCATCAGCAGCAGCGTGTGCGCGGCGGTTAGTAGCAGCGCAATAGCGGCTGGACGCTGTAGTCCTATCATAACCGGTAGCTACGCCGTGCTCACCAATGGGCTGGCGGCCATTTCGGTGTCCAGTCACTCGACCAACACATCTATTTATGGCTGTAGCGGTGGGGGCGTTAGCGGCGGCAGCGCTAATACCAGAAAATCGTTAAGTCCACTACAAAGTCTCTCCATCGGTGGCAGTCTTTCTTCCTATGGTGGTGGTGGTTGTGGTAGCAACAGCAGCAGTGGCAGCGGCGGCGGTGTAGGCAGTTGTATAGGTAGTAGTGGCGGTGGCGGCAGCAGCACAGCTGGTCTCTCTCTACTCACCGGCAGCAATAGTCACCTAACTAGCATTTCGCCCGCACTAAGTACCAGCACACCGCTTAGCAGTGGCTTTGGGTGCAGCAATAGTATGAGTGTCGTCAGTGGCGGCAATAATGCATCGAGCTACTTGAGCAACATGAAGCTGCTGGGTCCCGCCTCCATTGATTTGGGCACCACACCGCTGACGCATCGCAACTATAGCACCATTAAAGGCTTTAGCTTTCGACGCAGTTTCGATGACAAAATCATATCTCCATTGAGCGTCAACAGCAGCGGCGGTAGCACTGCTGTCAGCGTCGCTGGTAGTGGCATTGGCATGTGTGGCAGCAATATTGGCGGCATTGGCAGCGGCGGCGCTGGTAGCGGCATTGGCAGCCATAGCACCTACTTGGCGCATCATCACTTCTATACACACTTCCACCACCATCCAACGTCCGCCGGCATGCAGAAGCAATCGTCCATTGATCGCCACACGAGTGGTGGCGGCGGTGGTGGTGTGGGTGTAACTCAACACGGGACACACTATCCACTCACTTCGTCGCAGTCATCGACTAAGCTCTCGTATCGCGATGATTTTCTCCAGCAGATTGGCTATTTGCCGACAACGCGCATCTTTAACACCAGCATCGATGAGGACCGACAGCAGGACTTTTTGTCGTTGTCCATGTCGCCGCCGTTGAATCGTCGCCGAGATATGCCGGCGTTGCGTGGCATCATTAGCCTGTAAGTATGCAATAAATGCTTTCATTAAATGTACGTGGACTTAATGGGAGTGCGTAAGTGTGAGCTTGATTGCGTGGAGTGGCTGACAAGTTTATTTTGTTTACTTTATTTACTACTAGTTCTTCCTCACCGGCTTCGTTGAGTGTGTAATTTATTTCAATAGAACTCAACATACTTAAACTCACCAAGCCCTCTTAGCCTTTAGCCCTCTTTAAAATATTTTCAATCTATAACCTTCCTAAAGCTCTTTCCTCTGATATATTTTTCAATTACCTAATTTCCTTAATTCAAGTTGAATTTTTAAATATTTTTATGAAAAAAAAATCGAACTTTAACGAGGAAAAAATTAAAAAAATAATAAAACTTTGTATTAAAGCCTGTTTTTTTGCAATAAATCAAGCTACTAATGATGAAAGTCGATGGACTAATAAACAAGCTTTGAATAGTCAAATTAAAATGTGCAATACTTTTTGGTATGAAATAGAAGTAGAAAATAATGTTACTCATACGCCACATCGTACATGGCCGCACTCGTGCACGGCGTATGAGTAATATTTTCCGTATTAAAGTTTGATATATTTTCTTTATTCAAATGAAAATATCTTGCGAAAATTACCTGATCTAGAAAAATGGTGTACAGATCCGCAATCTACGACCCAAATTCAAGTTTAAATGTCTCGCCGTTTTATTGTATTATTTTAGAGTCCGTACAGTGTTATTTATTGTGGAGGTTCCAAGTTTAGGCATGGACTGTAAAAGTAGCTTTTCTTCGTGCTATCAAAAACGGATAAATATATCAAGGCTTTTCTGAGACGATCATCCTGTCTGCTTAAAGGAATCTGCTGTCTACTGCCACCAGCAAAATTTGTAGATCCACGGAGAAGAATGGTCAGAAAGGGCTGCCGAGTCACGAGAACTCGAAATGGTTTTATACTTATGGGTCCAAGCTTAGACGAGCTTTCTTAAAGGGCACTGCAGCCATCTGAACGATTTTAATTCTTGAGGGCAAACAAATCTAAGCTAAAAGGAACTGTCGCTAACATAGAGCGAAAACGAGTTTAGGATATACATACATACACACTGCATTATTGCATTCACTCCACAAGGGTTTTAGGAAGTAAGTTAAAAGATTAACACGCGACGCGCACATAGGAGTATTTATGCAGAAAACCCGGTCAAAAGTCAGATTTACCAATTGTTGCAAAAGTCCAGTAAAATATATTATTCCTAAAGCTAAATAACCAGGGACCGTAACCGTTATAATTTTTATAATAAAAATCATAAATTAATCGTTATTTTGTGATTTTTTTTCTTTAGATAATTTTGTATCGTTATTTTACGATTTATATTGTTTCGATCATTTTTTAATCGCTTTTTTGTGATCTTTATTTTTTTGATCATCATCATATGCATATTATGACTTTTATTTTTTCGATCAAAAATAACAGTTATTCGTAGGTTTTTTTGTAAGGTGTAAATCGAATGTGCACAGATTATGCTTAAAAATAATTTTTACAAGTGCATTCAAATATATGTAAATGTATAAATACATATGTGTGTATGTACAGTGTACACACGTACATGGTATCCAATGATGGGCATACTTGAGTACTTTCGTATTTAATATATCAGTTTGGGTACTAAATACTCAAATACTTAATATTTAGAGATGTCTAATATTCAAGTAAACAAGACTTAGGTATTTAGGAGTTGCTAAATACTCAAATAAAAAAAATTAGCTATTTAGGAGTGGGTAAATACTAAAGTAAAAAATACTTTGTCATTTGGCATATAAAGTAAAGGCGCTAAATACTCTAGATGCAAAATACTTACACTAAAGTACTAAGGTCTTTATTAGATGGCCCCATACTTACATACTAAATACTTTATGATTCAGGAAGAATTGAATCGGGACTATTTCGAGATTTTCGAGACTACTCCGGGATTGCCGGAACTATTTCATGATTTTCGGGACTAGTTCGAATTTCGTTATATTTATCGATCTTGATATAGATATATTTATCGATAAATTTAATGATTTTGCAATTGTTATATTTATCGATATTGTTATCGATATAATAGCCGATACTGTTGTCGATATAATAATCGATACTTTTATTGAAAAATTTATCTGTTCTTGAGGTTATCTCAGGTCTATGTTTGTTGTTTTAATTGTCAACTATGCAAATTTTTTTTGGTTTTCTAGGATCAGACAAGATTAACTCTAAAAATATGATCGAAAAGCCACGCTTTCAGTCGTTCTACTTGTTTCTTCGGTAATTGTGTTTTAGTGAAGACCTATTTCAAGAAAAAACCTTTTAAACATGGAATTTAAGTAAATAGCTTTTAATATGGCCTTCTTTTAGAAAATTTAAAATCGGTCTATTTTGATATTTTTGTTGATTAATATTTTTTTAATATAGGTATTTTTGTTTACTTGCCAAGGTTTGTCAAAGTTTGGTTCCTTGAAATATATGTAACTACAAATATCTTTGAGCAATTAAAGCAAAAATAATTTGCTCGCAATTGTTCCATTTTGGTTTTCGAAATTGTAATTTTGGATTTTATTTACAGAAATGTTCAATGTATAGTTATAAGGAGGGTCGCATTGTTAATAAGTATAAGCCTGAGCTTTAATTTGGTAAAAATTACGTTACGATTGAACACCGAACCATCGCTAGTTTTTTCCTACTTTTTTCTTCATCTGCAAAAATAAGTTAATTCACAATAGAACATAATGAAAACAGTAAAACATTTAAATCAGCCATATCTCTTAAATCGCGATTCCTTTAATAGAGCACTTATTAGCATTTCTAAACCGTTATATTTGTGTATGTACGCCAAAAACTTGGTCGAAACACCATTGCCTCGTAATAGGTCTATCCACCGAGCACAAGTTGCTTTAAAAATTATACTTTATAATTATAATAATTATGCCTTTTAAACATAAAATTTATTAAATATTTATTGTATATGAATACATTATACATTTTATTCTCTAAATTGTGTTTGAAGGGCAAATTTTAAAAGCTACCTAGGAAAACGGCCCTAAGCCTTATAAGGAGCATCTAAATATCGCAAGTAGAAATTGGAAAACTCTTTCATTGTTTTTTCGCTGAAGAAATAAACGAAGTATGTATGTATGTAAAAGTTATGGATAAGTTAAGTATTTAGAAAAGGGCATAGTTTATTTAAGAAACAGTCTTATATTCCAAAGAAAATCATGCGATGGAAAATGTTCATTTAATAAAAATTACGGTGTTCGCTGCCATCCGCTGAAAAAATCGTAGAAGTGGTCGTTAAATGTTATTACGATCTCAGAAGCTGAGGGAAGGTAAATAATAGAACTTGTGTGTGTAAAAATCGAGCAACCGGGGAGGCTAATGTTTCTTTCAATTTTCTCTTAAAAAAAAAGCAGAAAATATGCTTTAAGGTTCTTAATGATCCATTAATTTAGTCCCAGCGCCAATCCTCGGGTTATCTCCAATGGCCTATTGGACTAGATAAAAGTACTATTTACTCGCCGAAATTCGTTATAAAAAATCCCATTCTACCAGGGACGTGAACCGGTTTTGAACCGGAAAACCGCCTTTTTCTATTAATTAACTGAACCATTAACCGAACCGAAATTTTCCACAAATGATTGATCCGAACCGAAAACCGAACCACTTTCCATAAAGGTTTAAAGGTTCGTTTCAACCAATTTTCAATAGATAAATGAACCCACTATTTTTTCTTTTTGTTAAACATGGTAATACCTACCATGTTTTTCTACCATGTGAGAATATCAATGGGTTGCCTACCCATCTCATTTGACAGACCGCTTAACCTTGCGCGTTGTTGCACTTGACACTTGACACTTAAACCTACGCGTTATTTTTTGTTTGTTTTTCGAACCGTTGAACCGAACCGAAACTCCGGTTCAAAGACCAAAAAAACCGCTTTGACGAACCAATCCAAAAGTGCAAAAACGGTTCGAACCGCTGAACCGAACCGACCAAATTTTTCATCCGGTTCACGTCCCTGCATTCTACCCTATGTGGCTAACACCCCTTGCGACCACTTTTTTATTTCTGAAATATAAAATTTACATTTGAATTTTGAACTCTGACTGACAGGTTCACAAAAACTGACAGGCAATCAAATATGCTATATGCTACAATGACAAAAGTATGAGCTAAAGGGAAAACTACCAACTCACTACCTCCTCGCATTCGCATTGTACAAAAGGTACAAAAGGTGTGTGGGCAGGAGGAGGTAGTGGGTAGTGGGTTTCGCTTTGCCGCGAGCGTTAATTGAAATGCTGCCAGAAAAGTAGTCACCATCTGAGCAATGTAAATAAATGAATTTGCGAATAAAAATGAAAATAAACAAAGCATATTCAATTTTCGCGTCAATAACAAAAGCAACACTGTGTAACAAAAAAATATTTCAACAGAACGTAGACGGATCTGGTATAAAGTATTTGCTTATATGTACTCGTAGGCACATATGTATATTCATACTAATTTATGTATGTATGTATGTATGTACGGCTTCTTGTTTGCGAAATATGAGCGCACGTGCAAACAAATAACTGAAGCTACATTAGGGCGGGTCAATTTGTATGGGAGATTTTGTCGACTATACGCGTATAGCACAGGAAGATTCTACGTATATTTCTAAGAAAATTTGACGAAGAAACCGTGGTTCTAAAATCAATTTAGAGTTTGCCAAATTGCGAAAATAGATTAGGTATTAAAAATCACTATGTCCGTTAAGATTTTAAAAAAGTTTGCCACCTAACTACAAAACATTTAGGTATTTCAAATCAGTAAAGTATCTATGGAAAATAGTATTAGCAATATTGGTATCAAAAGAAAGAGGTCTGAGAAAGCAGTATGTATAAATTTTTGATTGGGGTTGCCACCTATTTAAAAACTTAAATTAGGTTAAATAAAATATTATAATATGGGTAGCAAATGTTTTTCAGAAATCACTACATTCGTTAAGATTATAAA